ACCTGGAGACTGTATGTGTGAGTGATGTCTAAATGTGTCTGTTTGTGTTCGGTCAGCTGAGCATGTGTGTATGTATGAGTGTGTTTGTGTTCTTTCCCTTTCTACTTTAGGAATGTGTTTATTTGTCCATGATGTTCACATGTTGAGCACGTACACGTTGACACGTATAACACATATGTGCTGTAATGGGCATGTTTCTGCCTCTGATGTGCACATGGTGGTGGGGTGGGCATTTGTCCGTATGTGATATGACAGAGCTGGAAGTGTCCCAGGTCACCCCGGGGGTGGGCCTTCCTGAGCACTAAGGGAAAAGTGGGGGCATTCTCTCTGGGCTGACACTGCCTGTCCCAGAACTTGCCCCATCCCCTGGTGGACCAGCCCGTCCCCACCCACCCTGTCATCGAAGCTGTCCCAGCCAGCAGGCCACCCGTCTGCCACCTCTGCTGGCTAAATTTGGGAGCTTATGTTCGGCAGCCATCTCAGGTTCCCAGTCACATGGAGGGGGCTGTATTTAACCCGGCCTCCTAGCTCAGCCACCAGACCCAGGAGGACAGAGTGAGTTTACACACTGTTGCCCGTCCTGCCTTCCCTGCCCCCACCATGTTTCTTGTTCTTGTAGCTACGGAGGAGCTGAAGGAATTCTTTGCTAAAGCCCGTGCTGGCTCTATCCGGCTTATCAAGGTTGTCATTGAGGACGGTGAGTGCCCCCCATGGGCTTAGGCACGGGCGGGGGAGATGCTGGACCAACTGCTTCTGAAGTGGGGTGGTGCATGGAGAGGGTGACAGCCTCTGTCACCACATGACCAGAATTTCTTCATCTGGGAATGATTGGGGTGAAGCCACTCACAGAGAAGAACCTCACTCACTCAGCCTCTCCAGATGTGGGGGGGGGGCTGGGCTGAGTGAAGGAAGGAAGGAAGGGAGAGGAGGGGAAGGGAGGGGAGGGGAGGGTGGGTGGGCCAGTAGGTAGCAAACACCGAGTGAGCCTGCCCTGTGTAACTCATGTCACCCGCCTCTGTGGCTAATCAGCCGGGTGTCTCAGTTGCCAGCTAGGGGGAACCTAGAGAGGTCCCAGGGGATATGGGCATTCCGGGCTTGGCTAGGCCTTGTTCACATCCTGGGGGCTGCTCAGAAGGAGGTACTGAGATGCACAGATGGGGGACTCAAGCGAAGGCCTGAAGTGAGGAGGGTTTGCGGGGGCAGAGAATGAGGCTGAGGTGGGGTTTAGTCTGCTCTTCCTTCTGTGCTGCGAAGCAGTGACTGGAAGTGAGGGACGTAGACGCTGAAAGGGGAGCGGGCTGCTTCCGCCCTGAGTCCTTCCATTCCTGCTGTGGTGCTGGGTCTTCTTCAGGGTTCTTTTAGGGAGTTTGGGGTGCCTGTTCACACATTGACTTGGCCGATTTACCCCAAGCTTTATAGCGAAAGCTGTGCTGGGCTTTGTCCAGAAACCCACCCACCCCCAGCCAAAGTGGTTGCCTTCTAGTCGATCCCAACTCATAGTAACCGTGCAGGACAAAGTAGAATAGCTTAGTGGTGAGGAGTTGTGCACGGTTCGAATCTACCAGCTGCTTCAAGGGAGAAAGATGAGCAGCCTCCTCCCCATGCAGTTTACAGCCTCAGCAGATCCAGTGGAGGGTCAGCTATGAGTCCGTTCTGACTTGAGGGCAGTGAACAACAGTTGCGAGAGCAAACTGCCAGGCCTTTCTGCCACAGAGCAGCTGGTGAGTTTGAACTACTGACCTTCTGGTTAACACGTTGCCGCACACTTTTAAATTGACAACCTTGCTTAGAAACACGTATTTTTTTTTTTCAATGTAAGCCGTCATTTGCAGCAAGGTGCTAATAGCCAAACACTTAATCACCGCATCACCAGGGTTCCTTTGTGGCTTTAATCAGGGTCCTGAAATTCAGGTACTCCCAGAATTGGGCAGTCTCACTGTGGTGGGTTCTGAATGGAGTCCTCTTGGAATGCAGCCCGCAGGCTTCCACCTTAGACCAGGCCAGTTTACTCAGCTGACCTCAGACCTCACCCCTCCCTATTGCCTCTCTTCCAGACAAGTTATCCCTAAGGATGTTAGGTAGGTGGTAACTTCCAATGAACACTTAATTCTGTATTATGTTGTTGGAGTACCTGGGAGTAATAGGAGGGACTGGGGCCCCACCAACGCATAGCCATGGCCCATCTCCAGCTGATGGGACAACAGGAATGTGGTTCAGTGTAGCTAGAGCTCCTAACTTAGCTTAAGTAAGATTTCTCAACTTGAAAATAATAGTAACAGATCAAACAATGTCAGCCCAGGCTGTGACTATAGACCTTTGAAAGTCCTTGTCTGATCTCAGTTCTGGGACAGCAAGCCAGAAGGCTGGCACCCACTGGTGGGCCTGGTCCTTGCATTGGGGAACTCTGCTGTCAGGAACCTCTCTAGAGTTCTGAGGAGCAATGATGTCAGTCTAGAGACTAAGGTGTGTCTGATCCAGGTCATGGTCTTTCCAATTACATGCTATGCATCAGAGACCTGGACATTGACTAAGGATGACAGAAGAAGAATTGATGCTTTGAGTTATGGTGCTGGAGAAGAGTATTGAACCTACCATGGACTGCCAGTAGAACAAATAGGTCTGTCTTGGAGAGGCTTGGACCAGGTTTCTCTTTGGAGGCAGGGATTTTGAAGCTCTGTCTCACATGCTTTGTCATATCCTTGGAGAACGACATCATGCTTGGAAGGGTGAAGGGACAGCACAGAAAGGAAGACCCTGGATGAGAAGGATTGACATGATAGCTGGGCCAGTGAGATTAGGTGTGTCGAGTCCGTGAGACTGCCTCAGGATAGGGCAGGCTTCAGACCCATTATACGTACATAGAGTTGTTATGAGGCACAGGTGATGCAATGACACACAACACCACCACCACTGCTGGTGATTTAGTTTCCAGGACCCCTGGCCAAGCTGTAATTACCCACTTGCCAGATTTTTCCTCCAGCTGGGGCCTGTGGGCACAGGCTGACAACTTCAGTGTGTGCCCAGCTCCCCTCAGCCCTGGTACAGACACCTAGCTGAGCCATTTTGCAGGAACCTGGAGGTGGCAGGCCTGTTGTTCTTGGGCATTGGAGGTTGGCTGCTTTTGCTTTGTCACTGTTCATGGAGGGGCCTGCAGCTGACAGAGTAGCAGCAGGGTTCCTATTTATAGTGTCTGGTGGGAGCCCCATCCCCTCTTTCTGAGATGGTCCTATGGACCCGTGAGGCTTGAGACTACCTCCTTCGGCACATTTGTTCTGAGAAGCCTGGGCTGGAAGTGGTGGGCTGCAAGTCAGCTGGGCCCAAGCTGAGGGAGGCGGGGAGCAGGAAGTGGCACATTGAGATTGTGCTGGCAGGGTGGGGTCTGAGTGAGCAGCTGGGTGTGTGGGTGCCCTAGAGGGGCCACGGTGTTGATGGTTGTTGAGCGCAGCATGTCTTTGTGGGCTTGTCCACAGATGTGTGGACTCGGCCACATATTTGTGTGTGTGTGTGGTGTGTATGTTGGCTTTGTGTAGAAGGAACAGCCTTTTCCTGGAAGCTTTGTTCCCTTAGTCATTCATTTCCTCAGAGATTGAGTGATACAGCGTCTGCCTCAGGGACAGGGAGGCTCTGGGGAACGTGTGGTGGAGGGGTCAGCAGGTCATGCGGCCACCGGCCACCGTGAGAGGTGGAGGCGGAAGGTGGTCACTCCTCGGCTCACCCTGCCTCTGCTCCTAGAGCAGCTCGTGCTGGGCGCCTCGAGGGAGCTGGCGGGCGGCTGGGACCAGGACTACGACAGGGCCGTGCTGCCGCTGCTGGACGCCCAGCAGCCCTGCTACCTGCTCTACCGCCTCGACTCGCAGAATGCCCAGGGCTTCGAGTGGCTCTTCCTCGCTTGGTCACCCGACAATTCCCCCGTGAGTCTGAGGGGACCCCTTTTCCGCTCCAAGGTCAGGCCTAATTAGGGAGGGGCTGGGTCCAGGGAGGAAGATGAGATCCTGCTTGGGGGGTTTAAAGGGGAACAGAGGTTTATCCCCCAAAATCTGGGAGACCTTGTGCTAGAGGATCTGAGAGACAGACAGACAGACGGACACACCCACACCCCCACACCCTCTCTCTCTCTCTCTCCCTGTCACTGGAGCTTCAGGTCTACCAGATGAGCCTGTCTCTGGGAGACAGCAGCTTTGGCCATGAGTGCTGCTCCCCCTGTTGACCAGAACCGGCCCTGCTGCATCTCACGTCCACCTTGCGCCCTCTGCTGGTCGTGTTGCACAATGACTTTGCCAGCTCCCCAGCCCAAGGCTCCATTGGGCCCCACAGCCCAATACTTACAGGTAGAAGTAACCCTGTCCTGAGGGAGTCTCACAGCTTTCCCCTTCCTCCAGGTACGGCTGAAAATGCTGTATGCAGCCACACGGGCCACAGTGAAGAAGGAGTTTGGGGGCGGCCACATCAAGGATGAGCTCTTCGGGACCGTGAAGGTAGCCCTCACCCCCTCTTTCCCTCCATCAAAGCCCTAGGTAGGGACCAGCTCCTCAGAGTATGGGGTATTGTGCGGGCACGGGGAGGCATGGCAGAGCCCAGCAGCTGCAAGCTGGGCTTCTCTCAGAAGTTCCCCTTTGTGCCTCTTTGTCCCCTGACCAGGAGGACCTGTCCTTAGCTGGGTACCAGAAGCACCTGTCATCCTGCGCAGCACCTGCTCCACTGACCTCGGCCGAGAGAGAGCTCCAGCAGATCCGAATCAATGAGGTGGGTGCCCCGGGCTGTGGGAGGAGCCACAGCCGTGGGTCCTTGAGGACTCATCAGGCTCCCACTGGCCCAGCCAGTGCCCCTTCAGCCAGGCTGCTTCCTGGGTCTGGCCAGCCACACCCATGCTCACCCTTACCACTTCGCAGGTGAAGACCGAGATCAGCGTGGAGAGCAAGCACCAGACTCTACAGGGCCTCGCCTTCCCCCTGCAGCCCGAGGCCCAGCGGGCCCTACAGCAGCTCAAACAGAGGATAATCAACTACATCCAGCTGGTGGGTGCTCATACCCCCCGCGGCACACACACAGCCTGCCCCGGCAGGTCCACCATGTGCTCCTCGGAACACGTGGCTCCCTTTTGGGTCCCCTCCATGTATGAGTGGAATGTCCGCTCTTCCCTGTTCACATGCCGGCCCACTCGTGAGCACGCTGCCACCGGTCCTCCTGTCTCCACACTGCACACACACTCCTTCTGCATTCGCACTGACCCCGTGGCCCCCAGCCTCTCTCTCGCTCGGGCTGCTTCTGTAGTCTTTTTGTCCCCACTCTTCACCTAGACTAGGTCCCCTTACCACAACCAATCCAGATACAGCTTCCTAATTGGGAAGCCCCCTTCAAGATGAGTGGTTCCTCCCTCCCAGGGTGCGGCTCTGTATTGTCCCATCCACCCCTTTGGTGGGAAGTCCCCTCCACTAGAACCTTCAAAGGGGCAGAATTGAGTCTTCCCTCAGGAATGTTCTCTTCAGAGGGACCAGGAAGTGAAGCCTAGGAGATGGACAAACCTAGGGTCCACCCTGGCCCCTTCCTGCCGGCCAGACACACCTCAGAGGTTTCTGGGTGGTACGGTGGACCAGGGCCACTCCTGGGTAGGTGCCCTGACATCTCCTCCAACCTTTGGCAGAAGCTGGATTTGGAGCGGGAGACTATTGAGCTGGTGCACACAGAACCCACGGATGTGGCCCAGCTGCCCTCGAGGGTCCCCCGAGATGCCGCCCGATACCACTTCTTCCTCTACAAGCACAGCCATGAGGGTGACCCCCTTGAGTCCGTGGGTGAGTGGCAGCACCAGGGCCCTGAGCGTGTCTGAGCAGAAGCTGCACTGGCGGCTGGCTGTGTGGGCCTGCTGTCGGGGACACCGTGTCTGTGCTAGCCTGGCCTGACCTCTGACCTCCGTGCTCCTCCCCCAGTGTTCATCTACTCCATGCCGGGCTACAAGTGCAGCATCAAGGAGCGCATGCTCTATTCCAGCTGCAAGAGCCGCCTTCTGGACTCTGTGGAGCAGGACTTCCAGCTGGAGATCTCCAAGAAGGTAGGGCCTCTTCCCTAGGGCTCCTCACCTGCCCTCTACGGGAGTCCTGAAGTGACAGCAGAAAAGGGGGCCTGGTCTCGTATGGATGGAGAAACTAGGGCCCAAGAGGTGGCATATGTAGCACAAGGAACTCTAACCACTCGTTCCCTCTCCTTCCTCTGGATCTAGAGGGGGCAGGTAGGGGGCACAGGGCAGCAAGTCCCACGCTCAGTGTTCTTAGGGGGATCTGGGAGGAGACCCTCTAGACGGGTGTGAAATGAAGGGGATTAATGTGGCATCTACCCACCACAGATTGAGATTGGCGACGGGGCGGAGCTGACAGCTGAGTTTCTTTATGATGAAGTACACCCCAAGCAACATGCCTTCAAGCAAGCCTTCGCCAAGCCCAAGGGTCCAGGGGGCAAGCGGGGTCATAAGCGTCTCATCCGTGGCCCCGGTGAGAACGGCGATGACAGCTAGGGGCGTGGACCTGAGCCTGGTCGGCGTGTGGACTGGGGGCCACCCACCCCACTGCTCCCTGCCACCTCCCTCCATCAGCCTACACCCCTGGAGAGGGTTGTTTTCCTCGAGGCAGGGAGCTAGTGGCTGAATGCTCCTTGTAGCTTCCAAGGGCCACTGGGCTGGCATTTTGTGACCCTTTCCCATTGTTGTCTGTGCCCAGGGATCTGGGGGTCCTGCCTGGCTGCTCAGGAAGGCCAGATGGGGGTTGCCTAGCATGACCACAGCCCCCAGGGAAACTATCACTAGGATCCTGGAAGCTTTTGACCACAAAGGGTGGAGTCCATTGGGGCTGAGGCAGGGAGTCACTGCAGGACGGGATGGGTGAATGCTGTTATTTTCTAAAGAATAAAATATTTTTAAATCAACACCTGAGCTTGCCTCTGAAGGACAACTTCTGGGTTTGGGAGTCAGAAGGGCCTGTGCATACCCCTGCCACTGTCTCAGCACAAGGGGACAGTCTGTCTGGTAGAGGGAGACCCAGGCTGCCTGGCTGTGGGCATTGGGGAGGGAACGCTGTTTATGTCCATGTGTGAGCAAAGATAACAGTCTTGATGTGTGTCGAGGGGTTGTCCCAGGAAACAGACATGCTCATGGGGTCTGAAGGATCTGATGTGTTCGTTTTCTGTGGCTCCTGTAACCAGTAACCACATACTTGGTGGCTTGAATCTTGGTTATCTAGCTCTGCTCTAACTGCACAACCACAAGTGGTTTTTTTATTCATAGTTTAGGAGGTTGGTAAGTGCTGTCAAGTCGACCTCCTCAGCGACCCTGTGAATGACAAATCTAAACCTTGCCCTGTCCTGTGCCATCTTCATCTCTGATACACCTGAGCCCACTGTTACAGTCACTGTGTCAGTCGAGGATTGATCCACTGTTCTGATTGAGGGCAGTCGGTTGAGTTGAGGTTTGCACTGAATGACAGTCTTTCCTATTCTTTACATGATGTGAAACAACTTGGTAGATTATCAGTGATTTCATTTACTTGGATCCAAAATCCCTGGCACCAGCAGTCAAGAAATCATAAGATGTGTTACACTGGGGAAATCTGTCAAGGACCTCTCCAGAGTTCTAAAGAGCAACAATACCAGTTTAAAGACGAAGGTGCTTCTGAAACACACTCTACATAAACAGCCTGGGATTCAGGTAATATAGGCAGTCTTAGATGTTCCTTCCCAACAACTTTGAATGTCACTAACAATTCAGATTTTAAGATATCTGACAGAACTTTCAGGGGCCAGCTATGTATTTGCAGAAGCAAAAAGAAAAAAAAATAACCCCACCCAGACACACCTCTATAGAACCTTGTGGAGAACACAGCTATGAAGATCAATCAATAGCTTATGTCCTGTGATGACAAACACATGACCAGATGGAGTCCATCTTGAAAGCCAACTGCTTGAGCCTCCTGGTTTGCATATTTCCTTTTCTAAGAAAATCCAGCCTGTCCCTCCTGAAAATGTTAAATACATACAAGCTCTTCCCCACACCCTTAATCTGAACTACAGAGAGATTCCTTCAAAGCTTCCCTTCCTTGAGAACATTTCAAGATTCTCCATTTGCTGAAAGTGGAGGAAAAGACATTTACTCACCATGTGCCTATTTATTCCTTACTAGAATAAAAGGCAAGGACCCTTCGAGTTCTACTGAAGTCGAGTTGGCAACATGAGTCCTATTGAAGGAACAAACCTTGAGCACCCCCCACATGCCACATGAACCGGGATCTGTGAGTGAGGACCGAAGGCCTCTACCCTTGCAAAGCTCACATTCCAGCAGGGGATAAAGTAACATGCAATGAGCGCCTTGCTCACAGGTGAAATTGTGCTCTAAGGAAGGAGAATGATGAGCAGAGGGCTGAAGAGCAGCAGGTATGGGTTGGGAGTGACAGGCCTCATTGAGATGGGGCCATGTGAGCAAGGACTTGGAGCAGGGGAAAGAGGGGCCTGAGTCTCCTTAGTAGTTTGAATATACATGCCTCATGGCCTTTGGACACACACTTTTCTCTGCCTGGAGGTTCTGAACAGTTAAGGAGACCTTGAGGGCTGGAAACAGGCCAGGGAGGTAGAGGGAAGGGACGATAACATAGGGTCTTGGCCTGCTGGGATGTGGACCGTGGCTGTGACTCAAACTCATAGAACAGCAACACAAATTAGTATACCCCTCCCCCTCCATGTTCATTGCAGCATTATTTACAATAGCAAAAGAGTTGGAAACACTGCAAGTGTCCATCAACTAATGTATGGCTAAAGAAACTAGTATCTTCACACAATGGTGTATTATACATCACTAAAATACAGTCAAGACTTTGTGAAATACTGTCCAACATGGGTGAATCAAGAACAAACCATGCTGAGTGATGTCAGTCAGTCAGTCACAAAAGGACTTATGAGATGTTGTTAAGTGCCATCAAGTCTGCACTGACTCAAAGCTAATCCTCTAGTGGGTTTTCAGAGACTCTGAATTGTACCGGAAGTGATTGCCCATCTTGCTCCTTGTGGAGCAAGTGGTAGATTCAAACCGTGTACTTTGGAGTTGGCAGCACAACTTCTTACCACTAGGCCATCAGAGATCCCTTTGAGGTATGTTGTGTGCTATCGACTCAACCATCCCATAGCTGACCCTCCAGAGGGTTTTCAGGGGCAGTAAACCAGACTCCCTCGCTGTCCCTCCACATTTTCAAGCATGAGGTCCGTCTCCAAGGAATAGCCTCTCCCGGCACCATGTCCAAAGTATGTGGGGAAAAATCTTCATCATCTTGGCCTCCAAGGAACACTACAGCTGCACCTCCTTCAAGACATACCTGTTTGTTCTTTTGGCAGCTCATGGGATATTCAACACTCTTCTCCAACACCACAGTTCAAAGGCGTCAATTGTCCCGTCATCCTTGTTCATTGTCCAGCTCTCAGATGCATGGCAAGTTAGTGGAAAAGACCATGGCCTGAATCAGCACACTTTAGTCCTCAAACCGGCCTTGATCTTCAATAATCTGGATAGATCCCTGACTACAGACTTTTCCAGTGCAATATGACTCCTGATCTCCTGATTACTGGTACCAAGTGTATTGATTATAAGATATGTAGAGATCTAAGTAAGATGAAGTCATTGACAATCTCAGTCTTTTCTCCATCTATCATGATGTGTCAAATGTGATAATGGTTACCCATGGTGGACAGTGTTTGGTGGAGCTCCCCAGTTAAAACAAACAGAAGTGGAATTCATTTCCGAGATAGCTTGCCTCCAGAAACCCTATGAACTTGGAGAAATGATGAAAGTTATACAAGTGTTCTGGGTCGCTGTGTGTCTTTCATTCATTCTTAGGGTCACTATGAGTCTTAACTAACTCAATGGCACTTAACAACAACAACAACAACAATCATGATGTTGCCTGTCAGGTCAGTGCACGGATTTTTGTTTTCTTAATGTTGAGATGCAATCTATATTGAAGGCTTCAGTATTCAACCTTCTGTAGCAAGTGCTTCTCACTTTTAGCAAGCAAGGCTGTGTTATCTGCATAATGAATGTTACTAATTCAGTCTTCCTCCAATCTTGATGCTATGCTCCACTTCACAGAGTCCAGCTTCTTGAATAATTTGCTCAGCATACTGATTAAATAGGTTTACAGAAAGGGTATAACCCTGATGTACGCCTTTCTTAATTTTAAACCATGCAATGTTCCCTTGCTCTGTTCACAATAATCCAAGCATGATGTCCCTCTCCAAGGAATAACCTCTCCTAGCAACATGCCCAAAGTATGTGAGATGAAGTTTCATTATCTTTGCCTCCAAGACGCATTCTGAGACATCACGCTTGGATTTTTTTTTACTCCAAATTAAAAATCATAAATAAATAAAAAGACAAGTATGGAGGATCTGAGCATGGAGGGACAAGATCTGCCTTTATTGTAATGAATCCTTCCAGGACTCAAGTGAAAATAGACTGTGAACCATGTCATCAGCAGTGCGCAGCCCATGAGGACGAGGCTGTGCAGCTTAGGCAGGTGGTAGCCATAGAAGTGATAGGTAGATTCCGACAGATTCTGAAGGTGGACCCGGCACAACCTGCTGAGAGATCCCAGGTCACCTGAGGGCTTTGAGCCTTAGAAGTTTGAGTTCTAGGCCCTTAGGTGAGGAGAAGCAGACAATCAGCCAGAGGGTCCCAGTGGATCAAGAAGTCTGTATGGGGGACAAGCTGTGCTCTGATGGGGGCCAGAGGGAAGGAATATATGTGGGAGGAAGATGCTGCCGTGTGGCTGCAGGGAAGGCAGGTGTGGCCTGCTGAGGCTCAGGGCCCCGGCATGTGTCAGCATCCTTGTCCTGGAAGGCCACCTGTCCGGTGGGGAGGAGAGGATGGAGGCTAAGGGTAAAAGATCCTTTGCATAATGGAGACTCTGGTTTGAGTGTCAATAATAAAATGGAACAGTTGAAGTTTTTCATGGAGCTTGGACTGAGCACCAAGCCTCTTACTCCAAGTCCCCCAGAAGGCAGATGTCAACCCCCCACGGGGTGCTGTGATTTTTAGAAGATGCATGGGGCAAGGGCTCACTCTGAGTGGAGTGGAAAGAGGAAGGAGTGAAAGGATGGGTGCCATTTGGCTATGCAAATTGTGTCCGATTCATCGCTCCCAGGCCCTTGGCCTCGACATCGGTGGTAGGCCTGAGGGGAGCCTGTTGCTCCTATGGCAAAGAATTTCCTGGGGGTTTGAGGGCCCCCATCCTTTCCCACTACCACTTTACCAGGAAACAGAACAGAGCTTTTCCCTGATCTCTGACGGGGGCGCCAGACTTGGGGTAGAGGCAGGTGGAGGGGCTGCCAGGCTCTTGTGAAATTCGTACTTCCTCTTTTGCTCTGAATCTCTGCTACTTGTAGAAGACGCCTTGAGCACAAAGCCCAGTCTGCTAGCTGGCCTTCTGGAGAAGCACAGCTGTCCATCATGGTAGGAGAGCCTTCAGCCCTGGGAGAAAAACAGCCTGGCAAGGGGTGGAGAAGGGGGAAACTTACGGTTTATATGGCCTGGGGGACCCTCATAGAACCGTGGAGGCGTTAGAGCAGAAGCCCTTCTCTGAGCCGCAAGCCCCAAACCCATTGTGTGGATGGAGAGACTGAGACCCAGGGCTGCAGGTAGGGTTGGAGCAAGCCAAGATCCTGATGCCCAGGGCTGGGCTCTAAACTGTCACTTTGATTGATACACCTGATTTGTTCTGACACACATCCAGGTTGAGTGCCCCCAGGCTGGGACTGAGGAGACAGGCAGGCAGTAAAAGCTGCGACTAGCCAGCACACCAGGTGTGGTGGCCTTTAAGGACAGAGCAGGGGCCCCTCATTTTTTGACTGGACCTTGGTCAAAGGAAGACAGTAGGGCTGGAGGACTGGCAGAGGGTATAGAGGATTTTCAGGGCAGTGAGAGGGCAGAGGCCAGAGAAGTGGCCTCTGAGGAAAGGAAGGGGTCGCTGACTGCCTTGCCCGGCCTCCATTGCACCTGGTGTCTGGTTGAGAGAAAACTCTAAACTGCAGGAATTAATTCAAGGTCTGAGATATTTGTCCAGAGGATGATTTAAAGTTGGGGCCTGAGGCTGAATCTAGATCCTCAGAGATTCTGCCTCCAGGATGGGATGGGGGCCTGTGGAGAGGAAGGAACCTTCTTGGGGAGGGTTGGAAGAAAGAAGAGCCATCTGGCCAGGGCTGGAGGACCCCTAGGATGGGGGAGGGTAGAGGTAGAGCTTGAGCTGGGACAGGACATTCATGCAGCCCCCGCCACCAGGGCCCCTGCTCCCGGGCCCTGCACCCTCTATCTCTTTTGGTCCAGGCCTCTGCACTGGCCATGACGCTGGCCCTGGGCACGCTGCCTGCATTCCTGCCCTGTGAACTGAAGCCCCAAGGCCTGGTCAACTGCAACTGGCTCTTCCTGAAGTCCGTTCCCCACTTCTCCGCTGCAGCTCCCCGTGGCAACGTCACCAGCCTCACCCTTCGCTCCAACCGCATCCACCACCTTCACGCCTCTGACTTCGCCCAGCTGCCCAAGCTGCGGCACCTCGATCTCAAGTGGAACTGCCCACCCATCGGCCTCAGCCCCATGCACTACTCCTGCCACATGACCATCGAGCAGGGCACCTTCCTGGCTGTGCCCACCCTGGAGGAGCTGGACCTCAGCTACAACAGCATCACGGCTGTGCCTGCCCTGCCCGGCTCCCTCATGTCCCTGTCCCTCAGCCACACAAGCATCCTGGTCCTCGACTCCACCGCCTTGGCCGGCCTGCATGCCCTGCGCTTCCTGTTCATGGACGGCAATTGCTATTATAAGAACCCCTGCAGGCAGGCGTTGAGGGTGGCCCCGGGCGCCCTCCTTGGCCTTAGCAACCTCACCCATCTGTCACTCAAGTATAACAACCTCACTTCTGTGCCCAGAAACCTGCCCCCAAGCCTGGAGTACCTGCTGCTGTCCTTCAACCACATCATCAGCTTGGGCCCCGGGGACCTGGCCAACCTGACTGCCTTACGTGTACTGGACGTGGGTGGGAACTGCCGACGCTGCGACCACGCCCGCAACCCCTGCAGGGAGTGCCCCCGTGGCTTCCCCAAGCTACACAACGACACCTTTCGCCACCTGAGCCACCTCGAAGGCCTGGTGCTGAAGGACAGCTCCCTCTACAGCCTCAAGTCGGCTTGGTTCCGTGGGCTGAGCAACCTCACAGCGCTGGACCTGAGCGAGAACTTCCTGTACGACTGCATCACCAAAACCAAGGCCTTCCATGGCCTGACGCGCCTGCGCAAGCTCAACCTGTCCTTTAACTACCACAAGAAGGTGTCCTTCGCGCACCTGCTCCTGGCACCCTCCTTCGGGAGCCTGACTTCCCTGCAGGATCTGGACATGCACGGTATCTTCTTCCGCTCGCTCAACAAGACCACGCTGCAGCCTCTGATCGGCCTGCCCGTCCTCAGGCGTCTGCATCTGCAGATGAACTTCATCGAGCAGGCTCAGCTGGGCATCTTTGGGGCCTTCCCCAGCCTGAAGCTCGTGGACCTGTCTGGTAACCGCATCAGCGGGCCCTGGGAGCTGGAGGCCAGCAGCAGGGGGGCAGATGATGGGCAAGAGGCCTGGCTGAGGTCTGGAGACCCCTCTCCAGGCCCACTGGAGCCCCTCCGCTCTGAGGGCTTCATGCCTCGCTGCAGCAACTTCAACTTCACCTTGGACCTGTCGAGGAACAACCTGGGGACAGTGAAGCCTGAGATGTTCACTCAGCTGTCGCACCTCGAGTGCCTGAGCCTGAGCCACAACAGCATCGCGCAGACAGTCAACGGCTCGCAGTTCGTGCCCCTGACCAACCTGAGGGTGCTGGACCTGTCCTACAACAAACTGGACCTGTACTACGGGAGTTCGTTCACGGAGCTGCCGAAGCTGCAGGCCCTGGACCTCAGCTACAACAGCCAGCCCTTCAGCATGCAGGGCATCGGCCACAACCTCAGCTTCGTGGCCTTCCTGCCTGCCTTGCGCTACCTCAGTCTGGCGAACAACAACATCGGCAGCCGAGTGTCCCAGAAGCTCTGCAGCAGCTCACTGTTGGCCTTGGACTTCAGCGGTAACACCCTGAGCCACATGTGGGCGGAGGGAGATCTCTACCTCCACTTCTTCAAAGACCTGAAGTACCTGGTGCACTTGGACCTATCCCAGAATCATCTGCACACGCTCGTGTACCAAAACCTAGTCAACCTTCCCAGCAGCCTGCGGCTGCTTCGACTTCACGGCAATCATTTGGCCTTCTTTAACTGGAGCAACCTGGTCCTCCTGCCCAACCTGGAAGTGCTGGACCTCTCAGGAAACCAGCTGAAGGCCCTGAACAACAGCAGCCTGCCTGCTGGCACGAGGCTCCAGCGCCTGGATGTCAGCCACAACAGCATCAGCCTGGTGGCTCCTGGTTTCTTTGCTACAGCTACAGAGCTGCGTGAGCTCAACCTCAGCGCCAACGCCCTCACGACCGTGGATCCCGCCTGGTTTGGGCCCTGGGCAGGTGTCCTGAGGGTACTGGACGTGAGCGCCAACCCCTTGCACTGCGCCTGTGGGGCAGTGTTCGTGGAGTTCCTGTTGGAGGTGCAGGACGCGGTCCCCGGTCTCCCGAGCCGTGTGCAGTGTGGCAGCCCCGGCCAGCTGCAGGGCCGCAGCATCTTCTACCAGGATCTGCGCCTCTGCTTGGACGAGGACCTGTCCTGGGACTGCTTTGGCCTGTCGCTGCTGATGGTGGCCCTGGGGCTGGCTGTGCCCCTGCTGCACCATCTCTGTGGCTGGGACCTCTGGTACTGCTTCCACCTGTGCCTGGCCTGGCTTCCCCGGCGGGGCCAGCAGCGGGGCGAGGACGCGGGCGCTCCACTTTATGATGCCTTTGTGGTCTTCGACAAGGCACAGGGCGCGGTGGCCGACTGGGTGTACAACGAGCTGCGGGCGCGGCTGGAGGAGCTCAGGGGGCGCAGAGCGCTGCGCCTGTGTCTGGAGGAGCGAGACTGGCTGCCCGGTAAGACCCTCTTCGAGAACCTGTGGACCTCGGTCTACTGCAGCCGCAAGACGCTGTTTGTGCTGGCCCACACCGACCGTGTCAGTGGCCTCCTGCGCGCCAGCTTCCTGCTGGCCCAGCAGCGCCTGCTGGAGGACCGCAAGGATGTGGTGGTGCTGGTGATCCTGCGCCCCGCCGCCCACCGCTCCCGCTACGTGAGGCTGCGCCAGCGCCTCTGCCGCCAGAGCGTCCTCTTCTGGCCCCACCAGCCCAGTGGCCAGGCCAACTTCTGGGCCCAACTGAGTGTGGCCTTGACCAGGGACAACAACCAGTTCTACAATAAAAACTTCTGCCAGGGACCTACAGCTGAATAGGACTGAGCAACTTGGAGCATTGCCGCCGCCTCCAGGCTCAAACTCAACCTCTTTGTAAGGCACGTGCCCTTACCTGCCTGGAGCTCCAAGTCCTGATGCCCTGCACTTGGCATATAGCAACAGTTGTTGTTAGGTTTCATCGAGTCGACAACTTATGGGGATCCTGTGAGCAACAGATCTGAACCTTGTCCTGTCCTATGCTATCTCACGATCTCTGATATGCTTCTTGTTGTTATTGTTATGTGCCGTCGAGTCGTTTGCGTTTGCGACTTTGCGACTCACAGCGACCCTATGTACAACAGCCCTAAAACCTGCTCTGTCCTGTTTCAATCGCACTGCTTCTGACACACCTATCCCAATTACCCCAGTCACTGAATCAATCCACCTCATAGAGGGTCTTCCCCTCCTGCGCTGTCCGTCCACCCTACCAAGCATGATGTCCCTCTCCAAGGATCTGTCTCTCCTTACAACGTGTCCAAAGTATGTCAGACGAAGCCCCAGAATCCTGGACTCCAAGGAGTAGCCTGGTTTAACCCTCTCCAAATGTGTGATATGCTTGAGCCTAATATTAATTACAGTCACTGTGCCATTTCATCTCATCGAGGGTCTTTCTCTCTTTCTCTGACCCTCCACCTTTCTCAACATGATGTCTTTTTTTCAAGAACTAGTTCCTCCTGACAACATGTCCAAAGTATGTGAAATGAAGTTTGACCACCCTTGCCTTTAAGACGTACCCTGGTTGCATTTCTTCCAAGACGGACTGGTTTGTTCTTCTGGCAATAGATGAAGATATTCGGTACTCTTCTCCAACATCAAAATTCAAAGATGATGATTCTTCTTTCATCCTTATTCATTTTCCAACTTTCAGATGCATAGGAAATAATTGAAAAGATCAGGCACATCTTAGTCATTAAACAGACTTTTTTTTTTTTTAATACTTTGAAGAGGTTCCTGACAGCAGATTCTCCCAATGCAACATTTTTTTAAATTTCTTGACTGTTACCATGGGTGTTTATAGTTTATCCAAGAAAAATGAAATTGTTGACAATTTAAATGTTTTCTCCATCTATCACAATGTTGCATATTGGTCCAGTGGTGAGGAATTTTGTTTTCCTGATGTTGAGATGTAATCGATATGTTCTTGTTATGTGTCTTTGAGTTGCTTACAACTCATAACAACCCTGTGTACAACAGCTCTGAACCCTGCTCTATCTTGAGGCAATTTCATTGTCTCTGACACACCTACTCCTCTTACCCCAGACACTGAGTCGATTCGTCTCATCAAGGGTCTTCCTCTCTTGCAGTGTCCCTCCACCCTCGCAAGCATGACATCCCTCTCCATGGACTGGTCTCTCCTTGAAACATGAACAAAGTATGTCAGACAGAGCTTCAGAATCCTTGCCTTCAAGGAGAACCTGGTTTCACCCTCTCCAGGATGAACCTGTTTGTTCTCCTGGCAGTCCATGGTATATTCAATACTCTTCTCTAGCACCACAGCTCAAAGACATCAATTCTCCTATTATCCCTAGTCATTGTCCAGCTTTCTGATGCATAGCAGGTAATTATGAAGACCATCAGGTACACCTTAGTCTCCAGACTGATATTATTACTCTTCAGTACTCTAGGGAGGTCCCTGACAGCAGACTTTCCCAATGCAATTTGTATTTTGAATTGTAATTGATACAGGTATTCAAGAAATGTTACTGGAATATTGGACAGTAAATCCTGAACTCACTGGAGAGGAAGGGTAAGGGACGAAAGGAGAATTGAAGTGCTTCGGGAGAATTTACAATGGGGAAGGGAGGGTCTTCAGCAAGGGAGGAGGCTGCTAAAGGTAGATTTGGTCGTGGTATCTATTTAAGAAAGTCTCAGGATGATATCTGAAATGTAGTCCTAATCTAGGGTGGGTCTCCTGCTTCTTCCATCCTTTCTCCTTGGTCCAAATCCCTGCTGTGTGTTGGCCTCAGTATCTGTCTCTCTTGCCCACTGGACTGAAAAGCTCTTGAACGCATATAGAACCTACAGACCTGGCTCTTTTATGGTCTCCAGCAAGGCACCCTGTGGTAGAAGTTTTGGTCAACACTTATTCCCAGGTTGAGAACTGCGACCTCTAGTGGTCAAGCCTGTGCTGGGCTAAGGAGACTGGCTTAATGTTTGCATTGGAAACATCTGGAGGTGCTGGGTCTCTCTGTTATCAAAAAGATAACTACATGATATTCAGATGGCCAACATGAAAAAAAAAACTCTCAAGATCATTAGCTACTGTTGTTGTTACAAGTGCCGTGGATTCAGGTACGACCCATAGCAACAACAGGTCTGAACTCTGTTCTATCCTTTACCATCTTTATCATCCTCAACACATTTGAGTCCATTGCCACAAATACTTCATCAATCCAGCTCACTGAGGGTCTTCCTCTCATTCACTTAACCCTACACCTTTCCAAACATGATGTCGCTTCCCAAGGAATAGCCTTGCCTAACAAAACCTCCAAAATAATGTGAGGCAAAGCTTCACCATCTTTGCCTCCAGTGTACACATTGGTTGCACTTTTCCCAAGACATAATTATCTGTTCCTTGGGAAGTCCATGGGATGGATATTCGGCACTCTTCTCTAGCACCACAACTCAAATGCATTAATTCTTCTCTTGTCATCCTTTCTCATTGTCCAGCTCTCAGAGAGATGTAAATCCAAATTACAATTAGATATCATCTCACCCCAGCAAACCAGCAATGCTCCATCAGACGTTAAACAATAAATGCTCATGAGGGTGTGGAGAGATTGAAATATTCCTACATTGCCGGTGGAAATTTACCTGGCTTTGGTATCAAGGATATGTTTGCTTCATAGAATGAGTCTGGGAGAATTCCATCTTTTTCTATTTTCTGAAATAGTTTATGTAGAATTGATGACATTTCTTCTTTGAATGTTTGATAAAATTCACTTGTAAAACCATCTGGTCAAAATAAATAAATTAATTAAAAAAAACCACCAAAACCCAAAACCATCTGGTTCAGGGCTTTTTTGCCTGGAAGTTGTTTTATTACCTTTTCAATTTCTTCTTTTGTAATAGGTCTGTTCAGGTGTTC